TAAGGCTCTTTAAGAGATAATAACTATTATTAGAGATAATATAAGATAGTTATTTACTAACTATATTTATTATATACTATTCTAATTAATTAAGGATCTGCTTATAGTAATAAAGTTACTTTTAATAGTATAGATTAAGCAGCTATATCTACTTAGTCTATTACTTTATTATACAGTCTACTTAGAGCTATAGTAGGTACTTACAGAGAATAGAAACTAGTTAGAAGAAAAGCTATATCTTAAGAATAGCTATCTACTTATATAGGCCTATTATAATCTGATATATAATTTATAGTTTTAGTATATTATATACTATATTAAGATAATTAGAGTAGAGATAGCTCTTAAAAGTTAATTAAGCTTATATTTTTATTTTTAATTATCTAGTTTAGGTTTAGATTAAGATATTAGATTAGATTAGATCAGGTTTAGTATTACTAGTATTAGTATATTAGAGTTTATTTCAGTTTAATCTAGAATTATATATATTTAGAAATAAAAAAGTTAGTTACTTTTAAGATTATAAGTTAATTTATCTCTATAAGTATAATATATATTTACTACTATAGGAAATTTTTATTAGGAATAATATAGATTTAATATTAATCTAATATCTATTTATATATACTTAGTTATACTATATAATAGTCTTTTTATATATATAATTAATAATTTATATTTTATTTTATTAAAATCAGATTATATATTTTAAACTATATAATTTAATAAATTAATTTATTTTTATTATATTATTATATTTTATTTCTTTTTTTATAAATTTATATATTTATAATAAGAAATCTCTAATAGATTTTTATTAAATTTAGTTAAAAATATATATTTAAAATATCTTTATTAAATTTAGTAAAATATAATTAATTAGATTTAAAAATTAATTTCTAATAATTTTATTATAATTTAAAAGTCTTTATAGACTATAGAAAGTTATATATAATAATAAAATATTACTATTTATTTCTAAAGATATAAATTAATAATACTATATTATTATAATTATTTAATTTATTTAATAAATTAAAAATATTATATTTATTTTAAATAAAATTAAATATAAAATTAAATATAAAGCTATAAATAAAGTTTAAATAAAGATTTTTATTATTTAGTATATAATATTTTATTAAATAATTATTAATATAATTATTATTATAATATTTATATTAGCTATATTTTAATTTATTTTAAATTTAATTTAATATAAATTTATTAATTATTATATAAATAATATAACTTTTAATTTAAAATATTTAAAATTTAGAAATTAAAGTTTTTAAAATAGAAATTAATATATAAATTTTTTTTTTTATTAAATAATTTAATTAGTTTTAACTTTTTTATTTTATATTTTTTTTTTATTTTTTACTATATATAAAAGATATTCTAAGATCAGGCTAAATAACTAGATTTATATAATTTCTTTTTAATTAAGTTTTAATCTATATTTAATCTTTAATTTTTAATCTTTATTTTCTTTTATTTATATAAGGTAAAATAAAGTAATAGCTTTTTTAAAAAGTTTTAAAAAAACCTTATTAAATATATAACTTAGCTATAGCTCTAAAAGAAAATATTTATTATTTATAAGTAATTATAATATCTCTTTAAGCTTATTATTACTAATTACTAATAATTCTTTTTATAACTTTAATAATAGCTTTCTTTAATATAATTATCTCTAGTAGTTAAAATCTAGTCTATATTAGTAATTAGGTTTTTATATATATAATAGTAATTATTTATACTTATTCTTAGATTTTTTTTTAGAGATCTAATATATATATCTAAGCTTATACTTTATTATAAGCTTTCTTATTATAATAAAACTACTCTTAAATATATAAATCTAGTAGCTATATTTACTAGATTTAATATTTTATTTTAAAGCTTATTAAAAGCTAGTAGATTTAGCTCTATATAATATACTAGATTAAGTTAATCTAAACTAAAATAGCTTTTTAAATTTAAAAGTTTATTAGTTAGAATATTAAATTAAAAAAACTAGAATAAAATAGAATTATTAAAAAATTTATTAAATAAAAAAACTAAATTAAATAAAATTAATAAAATAATATTTAGAATTATAATATATTAATTAAATACTATAATAGAATATTTAAAGAAAAATATAATAGTTAATTAAAAAGTTATTATATACTAATTAAAAAACTAAATAGTTTTTTTTTTTATTAATAAAATTTTTTTTTTTTATTTTAATTTTTTTTTCTTATTTTTTTAATTATATAATTAAAAATTATTTAATAATTCTAAATAGAATTATAATAATTATTAATATTATATATATATTAAATTTAAATTATTTTAAATTAAAAATTAATTAAAAATTAATTAAAAAAAGTTATTAGAAAAAAAGTAAAATAAAATATAAATTTTAATTACTATATTTAATAGTATAATATATTTAATAATAAATTATATATATATATATTTAAATATTTTTTATTAATATAAATATTATTATTTTAATAAGCTTTATTATATTTTAATTAGATTATATTATAAATTATTATTTTAAAAAGTATTAAAAGTTTTAAGTTTTTTTTTTAATATTAGTTTATAAATTTTTTTATATTTATTTATTTATAAATATATTTAAAGAAATATATTATTTAAAATTATATAGAATTTTAATTTATAATTTAAAAAGATTATTAAGTTTAATTTTATTTAATTTATTAATTTTATTTTTTTAAAACTAATAAGTTTTTAATTAATAAGTTTTTTTATTAATTATATTATTTATTTTAATAATAACTAGATTATTAATATAAAATATTATATAATTTTCTACTAAATAATTATAGTTTTAAACTAATAAAGCTTTTTTTATTTATTATTTTATATTTATTATATTAAGTTATTAGATCTAATATCTTTATTTTATTTTAACTTTCTATTAAAACCCTCTCCGGTATAAAGATATAGGGTAGAGTAGGTCTCTACACGGTGGGTCGGGGGGGGGGCCGCTTTATTCCGTCAATGCTGACATTACTGAAAAAGGTAATACATTCTAAAGCCACCGAGTGACATACTCTCTCCACAGGTCGCGGGAGAGTTGCTTTATTCCGTCAATACCGACACTACCGAAAACGGTAATATATTTTGAAGCCACCGAGTGACATACTCTCCCCACAGGTCGCGAGTTGGGCCACCAGTCAATTGCCCTCAACAGCGGTAATGGTATGCTTCTTAGTGGGAAATGCTTTACCCAAGGCCCATGCTGTGAATGGAGTCAAACGGACATACTGTTCCACAGAATGAACAGATTTACTACTTCTAGGCTTATGCTCGCTGTCTATTGGAACTTCGCTCAGCCATCACCTATTGAGTCTACATCTTACTACCCTTGAAATAAAAAGACTCGCAGGATTTTCCTGGTCGTGTTTACTTACCAAAATGACTCAAAATGAAAACAAAAAAGTCTTGATTGTTGGCGCCGGGCCCGGTGGCTTGCTTCTCGCCCAATTTCTTCGCGGCCAGGGAATACCATACGCTATTTTCGAGAGAGATGAGGAGCTTGATTCGCGAGCCCAAGGATGGGCTGTTGCGCTCATCGCGTAAGTCCCTATCACTGTCGGAACTTGAGTTTGACCTTAGGCTGATGTTCTCTCTAGATGTCTTCCAGATATGTACGAGCTTCTCCCTAAGGATCTCGGTGACCTCGAATGGGTCAGCGTCAACCACGGGAATGAGGACAATGATTCGATGGCACTCTATGATGGCATCACGGGGGAGCTTCATTGGAAGTTCGGTGGAGTGGCCAGGGGTGAGGACGGGTATCTTCTTCGTGCCAGCCGCACAAAGATGCGTCAACTCTTCTGGAAGAAGGCTGGTGTTGTTACCGGCAAGGAGTTTACCCACTATGAGGAAGATGATGAAGGCGTTACTGCCTTCTTCAAGGATGGCTCTACCGTACGAGGGGCCATTCTGGTTGGGGCAGACGGCGCGCGGTCTCGAGTACGCGCCCAATTGCTTCAAGGTCAGGAAGCGCGTCTTGAACCCAGCGCCTATGTCGCTGTCTGCGGCGAAGGCCAACTCCCACCGGAAATCTATACCCCACTGCGGGAAATGGCTACTTCGGCTATCCTCACCAATGCACCGTATAGACGGTGCATTTTTGGCCAGCACGCATTCCTACCGGAGCAAGACATCCGCAAATTCTATTACATCCTGGGCTATCGCGCAGACGAGAATTCAGGAAAAGAGATGGATCAGTTGGCTTCGGCTAGCCGCGAGGAACTATTTGCCAAGGCAACAGAGCTCACGAAAGAGTGGCAGCCCATCTTGCGAAATGTCATTCAACATATGGGACCCCAGGGGATGTACGCTCCACCTATCAAGTTCCAAGAATTTGTGCCTCCCGAAACTCTACCCCAGGGTCGAATTACAATTCTTGGGGATGCCGTTCATACCATGATCCCATTCCGCGGTGCTGGCGCTAATACGGCTTTCAAAGATGCCGCCGATCTTACCAGAATCTTGAAGCGCTCATTCCAACAAGACAGGGATGTTCGGTCGGCTCTTGATGAGTATGCAGATGCGATCCTGCCTAGGGCCAGAACCATGGTTCTCGAAAGCAGGGCAGCAGGGCAGGATACTGAGGGTTTTATGCGTAACTTGCGAGATAACATTGGGCCTATCCCTGAGAGTGTGAACCCGACATGGGATTAATATAGCTGGGATATAGAGGCGGAGGGAAGGAGAACTTTGGTTACATAGAGGTTTGTACTGTATTTCTTCTTCTGAGAATAGGCTATAGTTGTTATAAGATAAGTAAGTATAGTTATATATTACTCTATTACTTATTCAGAATTAATAGCCTAGATATAATTTTATAAATTATTTAAAAAATTTTAAATTTTTAATATAAAAATATTTATTTTTTTAAAAACTATTTTAATAATTTTCTAATCTATTTAATTATTATTATAAATTTTTTTTTTAAAATTATATAAAATTATATATTTATAAAACTATATTAATAAATAAAATTAATTAAGAAAAGATTTATTATATAAAATTATATTTAGTCTTTTAATTAGTATATAATAACTATATACTACTTTTCCTAGCCTATAATAACTCCTATATAATAGCCACAGTTAGCAGGCTGTGATTATAGTGTTTAAAATGACCAGAAGCGCGGTATAGGGGCTTGGGTATTGATTTATTATCCCTCCCGTGCTTGGAAACAAAACACAAGCATGGTAGAGCACTTAAAAGCGTGAGCAATTCTTTGCAGTGGAAGTCTGAGTGAGACTAAAGATATATAATATAAAGCAGTCAAATATTCGAGAGTGCTATACGCCGCAGTGAGGACAGCCTTCAGCGTAAACCAAGCCTGCCCCTAATTCAGGTATATATCTTGTGGGAGATGACCTCTGGGTACCTCGTCTACAGGATATATCTGAAACTTCTGTTCTGAATATCCGTCTCATCCACTTGGAGCAGCGTTCCATCAACATTCAGATCCACATGTCGAATCTCCTCTGGGTCGACATACACGCCCTGCTCCTTGTCGCGGCGGCCATTCTCCCAGGACAAATACAGACGCAGGGCAACTACCAGTGCAATGGTAATGGCAAAACAGACCAGGATGGTGGTATATGCGGTCTAGAGAGTTTAGTCTTCAGATCTGGGCCCATTACCACGGCGCGTTTGTAACTCACATGATAGCTCGGTGCCTCGGTGGCGATGAAGAACTGCGGGCCAGCCAGATTTCCGGCACAGTAGCCCAGAAAAATCATGGCCATCACAGTCGACTTTTTGGTGAATCCTGCAATGTTGCTGGCAGATAGCGAGAGCATCAGGGGAAACGCGGGCGCAACGGCCATGATCAGCCAGAAGCCTGCCAGACGAGCAAGTTTCTCAGCCGCTGGGAGGAGCTTGATCATGAGAATTCCTCCGATGGCCATCAAATAAATCAAAACGAGGGCAGAAAGGCGAGATTTGCGGATATATGAAGTACCGAAGGCAACAATGATGACAGTCGTGAGCTGGAATGCGGATGCAGGAAGACCCATAAGAATAGTCTGGAGCTCGTCGTAACCGAAGCTCTTGATAACAATAGTGCTAAACTTTCCAGAAATAGTCAGCATCATTGAACGCACCAATGGAATCCCAGTCTGCCTAGCTCACACTGGTTGTCCCTCCATTGGGAACACAGATGATGAAAGAAAACAAGAAGAACCACCAGGATTTGACATCCTTCATGCACTCGACGAACTGGCCGCGGTCCCATTTCCGGGTCTGAGTCGTCCTCTGGAATTTCTTCGGCCGGAGCGAAACAAACTCGCGTTCTGACGGCGTGAGGAACTTGGCCTTTGTAGGAGAGTCGGGTAGGTAGAAGAACATAACCACGGACCAGGCGATTGTGATGAGGCCGAAGATGAGAAACAGCATCTGGAAAAGTCAGCAAATGTGCGAGACGTAAGAACAGCCCATTGGCTGACCTTCCATTTGGCAAGCGAGCCCTCGTATTTCAGAATCCCGTATGCGATCATGGCCCCGACTATGCTAGCCGATGCATTGCCAGCGAACCAGAACGAATGCCTCGAGACATGCTCGTGAGGGGTATACCACATTCCCGTGATGAGGGAAAATCCGGGACTAATGGCACTCTCGAACACACCGAGAAGTGTTCGCAGGACCATGAGGCTCGGATAGTTGGGCGCTACGGCGTGGAGGGTAAGAACGATGCCCCAGATGAACCTGCTATTGTTAGAGCTAGCCCGGCATGCTCTTGAGGGATTTGCTCACATTAGGATGCTGAGATACTTTCCAAGGGGAAACTTGACGAAGCCAAGAGAGATGGGGTAAGATGCGGCGAGGTAGCCGATGTAGAAAATGCTTGAGGTCCAGCTGAATTGCTGACCCACGAGGTGCTATAATCGGTTGTTCAGCAGCTGCCATGAATTACCCGGTGTCAAATGCTTACCAGGTCCTCTCTAAGTCCCAGGATGGCGCTGTATGCCAAGCTAGTCTCTGTTCGCTGTTAGAACTTGAGCAGACTCATGATAATGTGGAACGTACTATCGAGATACTGGAGGCCGTAGCTCACGATGAGGAGAGGCATGAGACTAAATCCGGGTGGTCAGTTTGGAGCCACGGATCGGAAAGGGCATTTCGCGAACCGCATATCAATCTTGCGGATAAGTTTCTTCTCCTCCTCGGGGCTAAGAGATTCCACCGTGCCAATGTCGTTTTCGTCGCCCATCTCGCAGGAGCGCTTAGAAGATGTCTCAGCCTGGACCTTGCTGACTGCTGCCATGGCGCAGAATTTGGTATGTGTTAGGTAGGTAGGTAGTAAAGTCCGAAGCAATGTTGCTGGTTGATTGTTGACAAGCCCAGGTGGCAGACAGGCCCTGTTTATATAATAAGAAATTTGCCTCCCCATCCGTAGCTCCAACAAACTTGATAGATGATGGTGAGAAGGGATCCTGAAGCTAGTGTGGCGTACCCTAGGTAGATTCCATGGTGGCGTGTTATTGGCTAGTTTAATCGACGGATGTCAGTTCCAAGATAGCCAAGGTTAGTTCATTTTACAGGAGGTGCGTTATCCGATAGATAGTCGATATCCGAGACTATAGCCATTAGCTTGTTATCAAATCTGTTGATAGCCCTGCCTGACTCTCACAAAAGTCCATACATACGCGATTGCTGAAATTGAGGGGATTGTCGGTCTGGAAAGTTGAACACGATATACTAACATTTGACGGCCGATCCGAATAATTTGCCATGATATTATGCATGCTTAACTACATGTAGCTTGGAATTTGATCATGAGCAATAAGCTGCCTCGGAACAACGCCCGCCTTGTTGTGCTTTACTGATACTCAAAATCACCTCGAGCAACCACCTCCCGAATCGCCCTCATCGAGATGCCCGTGGGGCCCTTAGCCGCCTGGACAGCATGATAAACCCCCCTGATTGCGGGATCTGAAATGCTCGCCGAGAGCCAGTCTCGGTGCACGGGGTCTTGCGTCTCGATACCAGCTATGAGCAGCGCCCACTGGAACCGTTCCAACAACTGGACTGGCCCAGCGGCCATCGAGTAGTATGCGGCTGTCACCAGCTGGCTCAAAGCAGCCTGTACTCTTGCCGGAGTTGGGACTTGACCCAATGCCGAGTCTCGGCTGCGGTAGAGGTAGATCTCCAAGGCATGAAAGAAGGTCAACGTTACCAGTCCCATAAGAGGGGATGCTCCTTGCGCGCAGTTTGCTGCCGCCAGTGCAAAGAGCGGAGAGTGTTCCTGGAGTCTCTTAACTTCGCGAACCGTGGTGCATGGGCTGGATAGATTAAGCTTACCTGTCGCACCTGATCCAGCCTCTGCTGGATTCGCAACTTCATCCCCAGAGTCTGCGTTTCGCTCCCTTGGCTGTAGCAGTTTATCTCATGCTGGATTGTAATCAAGGTGAAATAAGCATCCAAGATCATACTGTGCTGGTTTTTAGAAAAGTCGGAGCTTTCGTGGTCATTCAACGACGACAATGGTGAGCGCGACAGCTGCCAGATCCGTCCTCTCTTCTCATGATTCTCGCTCACAAAGCCCGCAAAAGCCATGTTGCTTCCAAAAAAGCCGCAAAAGACGTCTCGGTCGTAGATGTAGGTCATTATGCGGGAAATCAGCACCGGCTCCGACTGCGTAGAGTTAGATGCATCCGCGCAGATGTCGTCGAGCCGGAAAGTCTTGACATAGATGAGAATAAAATTGCTGAGTTCTCTCAACTTTGCAACATCTAGAGGATCTCGCCGCATCCAGAACATGTAAAGGTAGAGTAACGAAATCATCATGGCGACGTGGTTGCTGGGGCCGATCGCTTGGGCAAACAGACACGACCCTTGTTGGAAATGCCGATACGACTCTACTGGAGGATCATGACCGAAGCCATGATGAATAGCGAGCTCGCTGTAGGAAAATGCAAGGAGAAAATGCAGGGCCATACGGTTGTGGGCTGCTAGGTCGAGGAAAAGCGCGTGGGCAGATAGTGAGGGCACGCGTGTCGACTTCATGGGCGCCAAGATTGTGCGGTGGAAGGTTACAGCTTGTGAATCATTGCAGCCTATTGAAGGGGCAGGGTCCAATGGACTTGTGAAAGACAAAGATGTCGTAGAGAAGAGAATGTCTGTTGTCAGGACCGGAAATAGGGTGAGATCAGAGTTCGTGACAAGGAGGCTGGGATCGATGTGCAGCGTTGAGTCGTCAAGGAACTGATCCGACCTCCAGAGGTCAATGGAAAATAATGGCAGGTTTACTTCATCATCAGTTGATGAAGGGTCATTGGACGCAGTGACAAGGGCGACGGCGTCATGGTTGCTCAACTCCTCACGCGGAGGTGAATCTATGAAATGGGACGGCGTGTGCCGATGGTGAGCTCGTATCTCATCTATCTGTTGCTCTCCATTTTCAAGCTCTTTCGGTAAGATTTCTTGGGGCTTCCAGTGTCCACGGCGTTTGATAGGTCCCACGCCGAGTCTTCTCGAAGCCAGAGAAGGCTTCGACAGGGTCCATTCGCAAGATAGCATAAGACGGATACAACGTTCACACGCCGGACGCTGCTCATCGCACTTAACCTTCTTGATTATGCAAGTACGGCACCCTACCGATTCATCAGCTATGCTCAATCTAAAGAGATGTTGAATATTGACCACTCACCATTTCTCGATCGAGGTCCCCGCTCAACGCGGCGACGCTTCTGAGGCCCTGGCCAGACAGGTTGATCCTCCATGCAGGCGCTACAGGATCTCAAGCAGTGTCGGATAATGACCCCGCCTCCGACCGTCGGATGAAAGGGGGCAAAACCGTAATGTCTGGGGAAAGCTGGGCTCGATCTATCTGGCTCGTTTGTTCTTATCTCCCAGGTGGATTTAAGTGGAGGAAGGTATAATAAGTGGAACACCCTCATGCTGTCCGTCGGCATGAGTCAGGTATGAGTCGATTAAACTGGCGAATCAGCGGCCAGCCGCACTAACAGTAAGACCCAAACCCCCTTCCCATCCATGTCCCATCCATGATCAAGGTTTAAAGGGCACAGGTAGGTGCAAATGCCGACCATTTTGAATGGCGGCAAATGCCCCCTTTTCTCTGTATCTTCTCTCCTTTTGCCTCTCCCCCTTTGGACGGCCTTGATTCAATTGGCTCTTGTTTTTTGTTCCTCTCCTCCAACTCTCTCACTGCCTTGCCTACCTTACTTTGCCTCTAATCATGGGCAACTCCATTTCATATACAGCATTTGACTGTCATGTAGACCTCCTCAAAAATGCAGGGACCCTCAAAGGTCTGCAGTTTGATTCCAAATCTCGCAGATTCGCCGGAGTTCCTTATGCACAACCTCCCGTCAACGATTTGAGATGGCGGAAACCAGCACCTCTGCCCCAGGGCCAAGTTTACTCCGAGCCAGACGGTTCTCCGTATGATGCCACTTCATTCGGTCCTGTCTGTCCACAAGCCAACTATTCCAAAACCGTCAGCGAGCATGTTCCAAACCATGTCTACAACGAGGACTGTCTCAGGCTCAACATCTGGACACCTGTTCCAGACCCTCAAGTTCCCGATCCAAAATGGCCAGTAATGGTCTGGTTCCATGGCGGATGGTTCCAAGTCGGCGACCCAAGCCAGGAAGAGAGCATGGATCCCACCGAGCTTATATCCACCGGTAATCTGCAAGCCGTGTTTGTCGCGGTAGGGTATCGTCTCAATGTCTTTGGCTTTCTAGCCGGCAGTGCCCTCAGCGACGAATCCGCCGGGCAGGCTGTGGGCAACTACGGCCTCTGGGACCAGCGCCTCGCCATGGACTGGGTATACGAAAACATCTCCGCTTTTGGAGGCGATCCAGAGAACATTGTTCTCGCAGGACGCAGTGCTGGAGCGTATTCGGTGCTTGCCCAGACGCTCTACGACTTCAGAGGCAAGGAGTCTCACGGGCGCTTTCGACGACTGATCATGTACTCCAACGCCATCCCCACGCAGCCTAAATTTCCAGAGGACTGCGAAGCGCAGTTCGATGAGCTTTGCGCGTACTTTGGCGTTCCCGGCGAGCTGAGCGGCCCTAAAAAGATGCGCATGCTGCGGGAAATCAGCGCGGAGGAGCTCTGTTCTGGTATCATGGAGTTGAAGCATCACACCTTCCGTCCCGTCACGGACGGTGTCTTCATCCATCCCGGCATATTTGACTACTATAGGGATGGGCGCTTCGCCGCCGAATTCAAGAAGCGCAGCCTCAAACTCTTCATTGGAGAGGTGAAGGACGAAGACACACTGTACGCTGTTACGAACCCACCAGATGCCAATCTTGATTCACTGCAGCTTCAAGTTTCCAACTATTACTCCTCGGCAACGACAAAACGTCTGCTGGAGCACTATGACTTGCCCCAGTCGACAGATCAGCACCACTGGCGAGGAACATTCGGGCGCATCATCGCCGATGGTCAGGTCAGAGCTCCTTCTCGGTATTTAGTTAATAATCTGCTACAGAATGGTGTTGAGATGAACAGCGTATGGCGCTATCTCATCTCATATCGCCTGTCATTCATCACTACCGACGTTGCTCCGGCTGCATTTGGAGTTAGCCATGCGATGGACAGGCCGATCTGGAAGTATGTTGAATCTTTCTTCCTACAGCTACAAGGACCAGACTAACATGAGCATAGCTACTCCATTACACATGAGCCGATTGAGACAGAACTACACCTCATGAATAACTGGATTCGGGACTTGCGGGCTTTTGTTCATGATGAAGAAGGGTATGTATATGGTACAGCGAGTGCGGAGGAATACAAGGTAATGACTCCAGAGGGGGCGATCAGGATTATGGAGGATAAACGTTGGGGTGAGTTGCTGCAGGTCATGGAGATCTTCTCAGGCTAGTTATATCAGCTCTAATATAATGGTCTAATTACCTGTTACGATCTTGCCGCTAGATATTTATCTTTCTTAAATATATTTTAAGGTATTCTTAGAGAAAAGGGAAGAGAGTACTAAAGTTCTCTATTAATATAAGATTCTAGTTAATACCTACTCTACTTATTAATTATAATTAAAGATATAGAAATTACTATAAGAAATATAGCTAATAATAAACTAATAAATAATATATAGAAAATTAATAATCTAGCTAGCTATAAATAGATTATTAAGAATTAATTTAAATTATATATTAAATTAGATTTTATTTATTAATTTATCTAGATTAGATTTTTTTTTTTAAAAAAAAGTTTTTAATATATATAAAAGATATTCTAAAATTAAATTATATATAATTAAATCTATATAATTTATTTTTAATTAGGTTTTAATTTATATCTAATTTTTAATTTTATTTTTTTTAATTTTTTATTTATATAAGTTAAAATAAAATAATAATATTTCTAAAAACTCTTATTAAAACTACTATATTATATAATATAATATACTTAGTTAGTCTAGTATTATTAAAAAAAACTATATATAGATAAATAGATATAAGATTAAAATATATCTCTATATAGATCTTAGGAACTTTACTATAAGAAATATATACTATACTTATAAAAATAAATTAATATTAATTTCTAGATAACTACTTTTTCTACCTAGTAATAAAACCTTATCTAATACTAAATCTAACTAATTCTAAATCTAAACTCTAATTAAAATTAATAGAATAAAATAGATAAAAAATTAATTAAATAGAAAAAGTTATCTCTCTATAGATTATCTTAATATAATATATAATATATTAAAACTAAAGATAATATATTAGATTAGAATATATATATATAATAGAATAGTTATTAGTAAAATATAATTATAGCTTTTAATCTAGCTAATTCTTATTTCTAATAAATATATTATTAGTATTTAATAGCTAGCTATTATAGTATAAAGATAATCTAAATAGATATAGCTACTAGATCTATTATACTATAAGTAGCTATATTACTATAAGAAGCTCTTTAATTAATTAAAAGCTTAAAAACTTAATATATTTAAGATATAGCTCTTTTAGCTACTAATTAATAATTATTATTATTCTTTAAAGAGCTAGTTTATTTATATTAATTTAGCTTTCTTTAGTAGAAATTAATATATTAATTATATTTATTTTATTATTATAATTATTACTTATAGTAGTTATTAGTAATAAGATAATTATAATTAAGATAAAATATAATTAATTAATTAAAATAAATATAGAAGAATAGTTATTATTAATAGATAATAAGTTTCCCTCCTTAGAGATTATAACTATAGCTAGGTTTATATATCTAGCTATATAAATAGCTCCTATTATTAGAGTTTTTAAAATATTAATATCTATATCTAGAATAAAAATATATTTATTTTAACTTTTATTCTATAGAAAGTCTAGATATAGACTATTAATTTTATATATAAAAAGAACCCTATATAATAAACCTAATTATATATTATATCTGATCTTAGGATAAACTTACTTATAGTTAAAAAAAAAAAAAAAAAAAAAAAAAAATACTTAGTTAGAATTAAAATTAGTTTACTATAAATATATTTTCTTTTCTAGATTAGAAGAATATTAAACTTAGGGTTAGGGTTAGGGTTAGGGTTAGGGTTAGGGTTAGGGTTAGGGTTAGGGTTAGGGTTAGGGTTAGGGTT